TGTATTTTCACAAATTTCTGTCTCGGTGGCCCAAAAATTGTTTGGACAGCAATCAGGGACAAGACGACGGAGCCATCTCTAGTGTTTCGGAGACATGAGCCATAACAAATAGGTGTCATTGATTTAACAGTTTGGAAAGAAGATCTCTTGACCTTAACTATCGCCCTTGTATTTGGCCAACAGACTTTGTCTTTGGGAGGAAAATCAGTAATAGTTCACTGCGTTATTTAGTGCTACTCATTATTTTGATGTTGTCTCTTTACTTTAACACTTGTACAAAAAACCTCACAGTTTTGTTCGTATTTACACATGTAGTGAAGTAGAGAGTTAATATTCTAAAAATTGTACTAAAATCACAATAGGACTAAGAATGCTTGTTATACAAAATACCAATGGGCTTACAAAACATCGCTTTTCGGCAGCTGATGGAACTCAACTTTTGGGATTTCATCAACGAAATTTTTGCGACAGATATCGGAATTCCGTTAAAAAACTTTTCCGGCCTTTCATTATAAACCCTGCTATTTTGGTCGTTTAGAATACGTTGATTGACACTAGGAATCAAATCATAATGTCACATTTCAATATATAAATCATGCTTGAAACTCATAAAAACATACTTCTATCTTCGGGGGTTCTTTGGCACGAGGTTGAAAATACTCGAATCTTCACATCGTGTTGTACTGAACATGTTTGATCTGATATATAATAAATAAACTAATTGGAAGCAGACATAATATTTGGACATGGTGATCTCTTCTGGTAATGGGCGACTCTTGTCAGTATGGTTACGCCTTATGCTTCTCCATACGGTTGACAAAATATTATTTCGCCAAATTTCGTAAACTAACATTGGTAATTGGTATTGACAGACGACAGTGGGATGTTTTGGCGACTAATAGGAAATATGCCTTATGATAATTATGGCGGTACATACAGAGGCTCCGAACCGATAATCCTAATGTAATTCGCCATCATATGTTTTGAGTTTTTTAATAATGAACACAACATAGCGTACTGAATATAAAGGAAGAACTGTCATTTTTTAACTAAAATCCCAAATCTTGATGTTTCTATTTCTGCAACATAAAAAGATTTATTGATTCTTTTTAGGGGATTTTAAAACCTAAATATTGGAAATCAAATCAATGATTGCATTTTCCTTGACCTATAGTTTTTGAAATTTTGATTTATTTATAAATTCTTATTATGTGGTTAAATTTTACAATTTTCCGTAACATGTTATATTAGTATGTTTATCCAATAGTCACGAATGACTTCCACAAGTTTAAATTTGAAATTGAATTATATCGTAAATTAGTGATGAATTAACATTGTATTTCTGGGAAGTGAGGTACGGAATTTATTTGCCTTATGATCACGTAAATTATTTTTTACAGCTGGCATAAGAGTGCATGTTGCGCTAATGTTGTTGTTCAAATTTTATTCTGTGCAAATCGTAACATATAATATTGTGGATATTTCTATTGCCTGTCCTCTTTTGATCTATTATTTACTAATCATTTCGAGAATTAATGCTTGAAAAATTGCTTCGCGATTATACACATTAGAGAAGTTTCACGAAAGAAAATTATTATTTTGTTGCATAGCGCATCAAATATCATGAGAAAATAGAGAAAACATATATTTTTAATTTATGCCTCCTCCAACATTGTACTGAGATACTAACCAGCTTCAAAAGCCTATTTTTCTAGTTTATTCAAATTTTATTTATTTATTTTCAACATTTCGAGGAAATGAAAGGATAAAGAATACGCAGTTTCCCCAAAAATATTTCAATGCAGCTGATAATGTCTGGTAGCTAAACTTACAATTACATTGTTACTTTGATTTACAAATTTTATAGAATAGTTCAGTATATAAAACTTTTGTTCAAAAACTTCATTTTTTTCTAGTCTATAGCTAAAGTCGTTTATCATTAAATAACACTTACTTACGAAAAAATTAGAAAACTCTTTCTCCTTAGTTTCTCAGTTTTTGTTATTATTTTATTACATATCTTATTTATATATTTATTTTATAGTTATTTACGACCAGGTAGATTCTCTATAATATAATTTCTTGTAATGCTTGAATACCGAAAGAATGTTCTGAACCGCTATATTTATAAACGGTTCGGTAGTATATTTTTAGCGGTTTCTTACCGAGGTCGCACGATTTTGAATAAGCAAATAACTTTTAAAAAAATCTCAATATATCATGTCAACACTCAAAAAAGCAAACAAAGGTAGTTTGGCAACGTGCTAAGCTTTTGCATGTGGCATAACATTTCGGAAGTGAATTAATTTCAATAGGAATAACATAATCTTTTTCCACAAAATAGAAAATTTCGTTAGATTAAAGATATAACCTATTCAGCAAATATAGTTTTAATTAAAGGGAAAAAATTCAGGCAGCGTAGTTATAGTATATTATTCAAACAATGCTGGATTTAATGTTAATTTTTTTCCATTTGATCAAACATTTGATAATAGGCGGAAAAATCATTGAAAAATGTTCGAATTTTGACGACGATATATCACACCCCTCTCTAGAGCCGAATGCTCATAACCAATTCAAAAAGCAACAATTTCCCAAATTTGGCATGTTTACCATTGTGTGATAAACGGTATCCATGTCACTCTCCCAACGCCCTATGTTAGTTTTGACAGATTGTAAGCGACCGTCCGCATCAAAACATAAAAAAAAATTTCCGGTAGAAAAAGTATGAAGTAAATTGCGCCCGGTCTAGTCATTTCAATTTCAGTACAACATCGAATCATTGAATACAAATTATAAAGCCTTAACCATCAGAAACAGCTATAAACCAACATGTTATCGTATTAACGTATAGACAACAATACGCTAGGTAAATTTCATTATGTCACTTATAGGTACCGCTACATCAAAATATATAAGATAAAATATAACGCAGGTGGATTATTGCAAAATGAATATTCGATTATGCTCCCGATCAATGCGACCATTTTATCATGACTCCTGTCAGAAAATGAAAATTTGAAAAATGAATCAAAGTTTCAGGAATTTTAATTTTAGTGCAGTAAAAATTGTTACAAATACCTATAATCAACATTATGTGAAATAAGCGAATATTCTCTCATCGCTTACTGGTCAAAAACGGATAATTCGTCCAGCCTACAAAATTGACACTCCCCATATTTTCAAGGGTCGATTCGCGTCAAAACCGATGAAAACATGACAATTTGTCGCGCTAAAAGACAAAAAACAACAAACAACGCCGCCCCTAGACCCCCAAATCCTTAAAGTTCAACAAAACATTGAAAAGAGGGCGAAGCGTGTTAGACTTGTTGTTATTTCCCTTTTCGCCAAATCTCGATAGCAATATTGACACGACGTAAATCACCCGCGACTATGTTGGCACTGACCCCAGCACCCTAATGGGTCGCTTTGTTGCGCTGAAAGGACTATGGAATGCAAATCCTGCTTTTATGGAGAAAGTGTGGAAGCTTTTTGGTACAGTTGATATACTAGTAAATTACACGTGCTTGGTATATATATGAGATGAATATTGAATTCCTAAAAATATAAAATTATCGTTTTTTCTACTAGTCGTCGGAATTATTACGCACGTTTATCGCAGAAATTGTAAAATATTAAAATTTCAGTACATAAAGCAATAAAAATTTTCAGCCAAACTCCTATTTACTAAATATATTTTGTTGAACTAAAGTAATATTTGCAGATATCTGCATTCCACCGTGTGTTGTTATGAATATAATCATATTTATTGTTATCGTTATTCAAGTGCAAGCATCTGCCTAATAGAACCCCCTTCTAATGTTGTGACTTGCACCCAATCAGGGGTCACCAAAACAATGTATTACTCTGTAAACTCTTGATCACGAATGATTAGGTATGAAAAACAGTAAAAACAAACAATATATCTCTAATTTATGCTTGATTCACACATAATTTTCGAGCATGGTAGTTCATAACACTATGCAATGTAATTTTTGAAAAATATACATTTCTTGTTTTGTTTAATGTTATAACTTGTATTCGTGCTCGCTTAGCATATATAAATATTCGACTTAATTAGGAAAACAGGCAATTTGTCGAGGATAACAGATGACATGTTGTCGTATATTTCTGATGAAGGATAGTATCTATAACCACGTCGTTCATGCGACTGCGACATAATTTTCAACAAGAATAAAAATCTTTAGCTTCGACCGTGAATGTTATTGTATAAGTATTAAATTTTGATTGTGAATCATCTCCCTACGTGACAGTTTATCTAAACTTTTACTTTTTTAAAAATGTTTAATATAATTTCAAACTTTATGGAATTTTTATGAGATTTATGCCGTGTGAACTACTGGCTATAGTAGCGACTTATAACACATGCCTCGCTGAAGAGAAACGTCATAATAAAATATATATTGAACTTGAATCATTTTACCGATCGCTGATGGTTTTACGCTCAACCATTAATATATAAAATATTAAACCTAATATTCATTGATTCGTGATTTTTCTAAACATATATGCAAAACATTTGGTGCTCCCGAAGTATGTGAACCAAGATGGCGGGCACCGGAACGTAGTATGTGTACCAGATAGGTTAGGCCATAATTTCAGGTACAAATACTACGGGAGTCACTTGGCTAGTCCCGAACATTATGGCCTAACCCCAACCTGGTACACATACTACGTTCCGGTGTCCGCCATCTTGGTTCACATACTTCGGGAGTACCAAACATTTTATACAATAAATACTTCCACATCCGATCTTGTATATACAATAATTCTTTTTTGTAAAGTTCATTTCTTCACTCATTTACTTTACGAAAATATGGCGCAATTTAAAAAAATCCGAAAATCTTTTCAATAGGCCTATACTGCAAACCTGGCTATGCAATGTGAAACATGGATTACACATATTAATATTATATATATAGACATTTTTATAATAGAAAACAAAATATCATATACTTTCGTATATCTGTAACACTTACCTGAAATCTTCTGGGCTTTGATTGTTGCAATTTTGTTGAAAACTCGACTTCAAATTCTTCTTGCTGTCTTGAATGTCGTTAAATATTTGTGATTCTCTCAATGAACGACATCGATAACTAATGCGTATTTCATTTGCCACGGAAAGTGAAGTAAAAATGCGAAATGAATTTACGTCTAGCATGTAGAAATTAAAAGCAAAACAAAATTATTTGTATTATTTCGGGTTGGATATTTCGATCGGACGACTTAAGTGGGAAACAAAATATCAAATTGTTTAACTCGTCTGTCACTTTTATTCTACGTCTGTCAGTTGTCCGCAAGATTTTTCGTCAATTTTACCTCACGTGAGAGGCTTTTATTCTAATTAAGTGGATTCTACGATTTTTAAAAGAGAAATTATAAGCATGCTAGATGCGTTTCTCTACTTTTACCAACAATTTTGTTCTGTTGTTTTTTACTCCATTTTAATCATTTGAAAAGTGCGGTCACCTTTTGTGTTGGATTAATTCAAGGCAATAAATATCATTCAGATTTACTTGAATTCTACGACTGATCACGTGGTTGTGTTCAATCAAGCATGATGAGAGAATAATTCGTTCTTTCAGGGCGTGGTTTACTAAAAACGCATACTTGGTCGACTATATCAATTTTCAGAGTCGGATATATTCTGTCAAAAAAGCAATCGATGTCAAGACAAGGGTTTTCCATTTAGACCCATTTTGCCTTCAAAGTCAACACGAAAAATCATTATTGTCATAAACTTCTGAACGATCAAATCAAGCAAATGGCAATGCTAGTGTCAGAATAAATCTTTCCAACTGATATCTGATACGTTTTCTCCTACTGTCACGAATTTAATCCCATTTTAAACATTTTACTAAAGCTTATATCACAAAGAAAAAAGCTTGTCAGCTTACTCTAACTCTTATATACTTACTCTGATTGTTTGATATTACAATTGAAATGTACAGTAATTGCTCTTACTAATGTTATTAGCATTGAAAATTTTTAATATACCAACATTATTTGTAAAAGACACTTGAAATCCTAACAAAACATATTCATAATTGATTAAAGTTTCAATAATTTGAGGCTGTTTAGTTTATTGATTGATAAACTGAAATATTGCTAACCAGTAACATTACTTGAGTAGATGTTTTGGTATAGAAAAGACATTTTCGTGTTATCGGTATCGGAAATTTAACTTAATAAAACTAAAAAAAATGCATTTAAATAACATAAAATTTTTTAACCTAAAATTTTGGTCTCTTGCATTTTCGAATATAACGATTGTGAACACAAAAACCATGGATGCTTATATAAAATAGTTTGTGTGTGCCTCATACATTTGTGCAAAAATAGTTGCATAAGCTAGGAATACATTATTAAAACGTTTGTTCTTAGTCTGATGAATGGAATTCGGTTTGGATGTACGAAACATATAGTTTCATTCCGAATTTGATCTTGTTAAAATAAACATTGAATAAACAATTCAATATCTCAAACATTGAGACCACATTTTATCATTCCTATATCGTTGGCCAATGTTTATTTCATGATGAAAATTTACCTGTACATTTTCTATTCAAATCCAAGGTTCAGAGTTGCAGATAAAAAAATGGAATATTACTCGAATTCAGTGGTATGAGATGTCCATTGTAAGTAATGGTATATGATATCTCTTTGCTGTACCAAGTCTAAACTACAGATAACGCTATCCATGGTTCAAACTTTAATCCTGAAAAAAATAAAATTTTTACCGAATCCGCTGTCTGACGTACTAGAAAAAGCAAGATAAAATTTCTCATCTTATTATATTTTCCTTGTGCGTTATAATTTTCCTTCGAATCGCCGACAAGCTGGTGCAGCTGTAGTGACAAGAGTCGCACGCCTCGATACCACAAATTAAAGTCGATTCACATTAAAATGAAATATTAATTGGATTTTTATTCATCTTAAACCAATTAAAGTGTATTCCATTACATTTTGAATTTTATTTGTCGCGTGCCTTACATATTGCTCTATATTAATTAATTTTGGAAGCGTCGTTCGTACACACGTGCCACACGTTTCTTTAAAAACATGATGATTCGATTAAAATTCTAATGATATGACATGAAATTGAGCGATCGGTTCTAATTATTGTAAATAAATTTCGACATTGCCATGTTTAGTCTATATTCGTATGTTATAAATAAATTCCAATTAGTCTTTCTGGAATGGATGGAGAATAAATATTTGACTCTCTTGAAATGAAAATAATAGTCAAGTCACGTTAAAATTGAATTCAACCTGTTTTGAGTTTAAAAACATTATGATTCGGTTTTGTATGTTTCGAATAGACTGTTTTGAATTCATCAACCAAATACAAGAATGTTTTTAATTGTTTGAATAACACAGGACGCTGTTTTTAATGAGGTAATTTTTTATATCAATCTCAAGAATAGAATAAAACAGACATGTGATACTGAAAAACATAGGTACAATTTTCACTTGTTGAGTTTGTATTTGATGTAAGAAAAGACTCTATTTAACGGGGTTTTTATTTTCACACAAAACAAAAAACATCTTTTTTGTAAATGTTTTCCTCACACTTGACAATTATGATAACTGTAATCAAAAAATATTTCTGTGTTTAACGAATTATTTGTGATCCGTGATTATTTTTGAAACGAGTTTATTCGTTTTTGAATTTTTAACTCAGCAGTTCTAATATTACTTTCAATAATTTTGTTTGTTTCAGATTCAAAACTCCTTAATATACGTTCATTCTACATTTTCTACTTATATATCAGGCCAAGTCACTTTTGTTAAAATGTTTTTATTTGTAGTTATATTTGTTTCAAAAATGACAGGGGAATTTTGCGCTTACCATATTATGCAAAATGAACTTCATTTCATTATTTAAGTGGATTGTTGTGTACATTCGTCATATTATTGTCATGTCACAATGTATATTCATTTTTGGAATATTTGTGACATTTTGAAACCTTACATAAACTAAAATATACAAGACATATATGTAAAAAGATATTTATTTACAAAAAACGTATAGTTACACTGAATTCGGGTAGTTTCGAGCCACTTAAGAATGTCTGATCGTCCTTTTTGACATTGTTTTAGTAGGGCGAGGCTTGAAATAATGAACCCGAGTCATATTTATGTAACAATTTTATAAGTACATACAAACAATAAATAAGAGGCAGAATAAGAAGTTTTTAACGAAGGACGCGAATAAGCGACACTCTTCAACTTTGCTCCTGTGGCACAAACTCTCAAAATCAAGATAAAACATTTTATTGTACTCGATTTCGAATCGGTCATTTCTACTTTTTTGTTTATTATGGATAAACTTATTTATGAATTTATTGAATATTATTACATTCCATATAAATATCGTTTAAATTTAACTTTATTATATTAAGAGCCGATACAATTAGATTATACCATAACCAATAATTTATCGATGATTCGGAAATTGAAGCGCCAAACCCGCCAAGATAAATTTTTTGTCGTCAGCAATGACCAAAATGTTTGTATTTCGGGGTGCAAAAACGTTCTGATGTTGCTACATTGGCCGGTAACTATGAATTCATTGAAATGGATTGGCCATCTTTCGTCTTACTCTAGAATGCTAGTGGTTTATATATTCGTCTTACTATAATAACCTAGTAACGTGTAAACATTAAGAAAAGAAGGCATTCTAATGTAAGAACCACAAGGAATAACAAAAATAAGTTATAGGAAGTTAAAAAGGGATATTTTGTTAAAATTTGAGGTGGTCAGTAAATTTTGAGTTTTTTTTACAATTTAATACTAGAAACGAAATTCAACGTGTGTGTATTCCCACTTTAACTTTTAATTTGGCATTACACTTTTCGATAATCAAAAACAAATTTAAAATATCGGGTACGACGCCATTTTTAAAAACCTTAATCTGAAATTACGTTTTATTCAAAACATTGTCACTGTTGAATAGGATTTAATTTTCTGACTGACAACATGTGGATACGTCACTTGAGTTTTCCGTTTTTTAGAGATTTAATTTGTTTTGCAGACATGTGAGAGGTTTCTCTCTTGGGAAAGGTTTGCGGAGACAGCATCATAATATTATTAATGAGGTAGTTTGTTAGTCTATCATGTTATAAAGGGTCTATGCAAAACTATGAATTACCACGTAAAATCAAACTTGATTGAAATCAAAATATCTTTCTTCTGGAAAATTTATTAAATCATCAAGCGTAAACAGACAAGATCAGATGAAAAATTTCAATATTAGTTGGCTGAAGATTGACGTGGAAAATCCGTGGTCAAGATCAAAGCGTGCTATTGATAGAGTGCTGAAACGCGAATTAACAACATATTCCAGACGTACAGCTGACGGGTGAAATTTTCTATTTAATAATAATAGCAGTATAATCAATTGATGATATTAATGATTTGTTTATGAATAAGCTCATCCAGGAATGCGACCTTCTCTGTCGTGATGAAGCCATAGGGAATTTCTTCATAGAAAATCTGAGTAAAGATTCAGGGGTCTGTAACATTTCTCAAATATGAGTGAGTGAGTGCACATGACCTTGAAGAAATCATTTTACAAAAGCGTGTACGAAATTCGTGTTCTTAGATTTATCACAGTAGTCAGACCAATTCAAAATTTCCTCATCCATTTTAAAAACCAGCTACTCAAGTACCACTGAGCAGATTGATGGTGTGAAAAACCTCATCAAATATACCGGTAACAACACTGGGGTGTGGTTATATCGGTAGAGCACACCGCGATAGCAATCTCTCACTAAATGAAATTCCCGCGTTATGGGACTGGAATTGCACTAATATACACCTGAAATATAATTAAATTTAGTATAGCTTGTCGTACAAGCATAAACAACTTCCTCGTATTAAAAACGACATTACGTAAATGCAACTACAATATATTTAAACCGACTATTTGACGTTAGGGAATTAAGTCAGCTTGCATCAAAAATCTCCTCCAGTTTTCAACCTCAAAACTATCATTTACTTTGTGTATTAACCCTCTGATAACCTTTCA